ATAGAATTTTCCAGATGCATACAGTCAAGAATCTTTAAGACAGTTTAGGGTTGTCAGTTAGTACACTGTATCTCAAAGGCATGCTTAATTTTCAACTAACACCCTCCAGCAGCTCACTGGTGAAAATTTATTTTGTGTCTGTAAGTAAACTTTTTCCTTTAAAAATGTCAGGTCACTTGAATCAAGGTTTTAACATATTAATCTGAAGGTTATGGGGTTTTAAAAATAAGTATGTTGAGTTTCTGTTTACCCTTGTTGATTATTGTAAAATGTTGAGTTCTGCTGCTAATTTGGTGCTGGTGAAACTCGAAATCTTCTTGTAAAGCAAATATGTTACAAAGAAATGAGAGTTTCTTGGTAGACCAGTGCATTGTACATTTGATCTTTAAGACCTGTTGTGTTTTGTATGTTATTTGTGAACATTAGCTGAATGAGTGAACCATATTAACCAATTTAATACGCCATCTTGGGGTGGGTATGCTTGTCCCTAGTTTGATTTTCAAAACCAGTCGTTTCATGCATTGAGGAGGAAGCCATGTCCCTGTTGGCATTGTACAATTTATTATTGTTTTTGCGCTTAAATTGTCTTCACCACTGTTGTTATTTCAACCCATCATTGTGTTGTTTGTCACCATTTCATTTGTCTCATGTCGCCATTTCAAGGGCATATTGCTTGTCGAAATTTTACCTGGGAAGGGCCTCATTAGAGTCCCTGACCAGATCGTGGACAGAATTATGTCATTGGTATGGAATTTATGGGACCAAAATGTAAATGTCTTCCCATTGTAAAATGTCCCCAGTGGCAGCGAGCAGGTGACCAGTCAGGCTGTATTCACAGGCTAGTCCAAGTTTTGTATTTTCTTCATTGTAACTCACAAACAAGGTTCTCTGCAGACAAAATCAGACACAGTGTTGTACATGCAGTATGGTGCAGTATTGCACGGTCACTAATGAAAGATAATAATATTATTGTGGTAATTTGCATCTACAGGAGGATGGGGAACAGTGCAGTGATGGCAAACGTCATGTGTGCCCACACCCTGACTGTAATGTAGTGTGTTCCAAAGCATCTAAATTGAAGCTTCATATGCTAGTGCATACAGGGGAAAGACCCTTCAAGGTATCTAAGAAATTAAAAAAAATTAAAAAAGTCTTCTATTGTGAGTTTTTATTAAAATTTTCATTTGTGAGAGTCAATGAAATAACTTAGGAAAATGTTTCTGAAGACCTTTAAAATAAAAAATGTGAATTGTCTCAAAGTTTTTGTTATACAACAGCTTCCCCCTGAATGATTTTATCAAACCATTTGGTTTTGTCATTGTTATTGTCTTTTTCATCAAAGCACAAATAATTAAGCAGTTAACCATAGTTAGCAACTGCATTGCTAAAATGGAGGATGAGTGCCTGGAGTATCCAGGGGCAGGGGATCCACTATTGACGGGCAGCCCCTAGATTGAAATAATGCCCCCTTGACTGACACAACAGCGTAACCCAGCCATTAGTCTCCACGTGAAAGGAAAGGAACAGGCATCCGTCGTACTGAAAACATCAGTGGAGAAAAGCAAACAAAGCCTAGGGGGAGGGGGAGGGGAAAAAATGGCGGACAGAACCTAGCACAAAGGAAAACTGAACCAGCGGCACATACTCAGCAAATCAAGTATTAGCCCAAGTAACCCCTCGGGGGGGAAAGGTGGAGAGGGGGGTTGCACTCATCAAGACAATGTGATGAGCGAGTCTCCATTTTTTCCCCACCCTGTCGGCCTCGTCATGTTGAACATATACACAATGTAAGCGGGGTTGGGTCGTCCCCTAGATCTGCCACCGTTTCATAGGATTTCACCTGCACAAAGGTTCAGGCCATGTTGCACATCATAACGAATGGTCACCCGGTTGGATTTCGTCATGAGATTAATGCCTTTTTTATTGATTTCAGTGTCCTCAAGAAGGGTGTGAATGGGCATTCACAACATCATACAAACTGAAGAGGCACATTCGAGGCCACACTGGAGAGAAGCCATTTCTGGTAGGTTTTTTACACAGCGTTATTCGGGTTTAACAGATATGCCATGTTCAATTTTCAAGTACCAAGGGTACCTGTAGTGTGTACTTGACCTCTGCTTCTGTTGTTGTGGACACATAGGTGGGAACCAAGAAAAAGAAAGGAAAGATTTAGTGTAGGCAAAGCCTAGCCTGTGCCAGGCTCTCAGATAGTTTGGATGTTGCAAAAATATAACAAGCCAAGCAAAAATATGACATGCACGACCTGAGGAAGGAGGCAGTGGCCCTCTCTTTCTCCAACCCCAATGCAATTTTTACCGCTGCAAAACCTTACATTACTATCTTGGAGCCTGGAACAGGCTTCCTGAAGCCTGGGAAGTCAAGAGAGTTGATTATCTTTTAAAAGCCTGGATTTGATGTGTAGGATATAAAAATGTTGCAAATTGGATGACTGGTGGACTTTTTTATTTAACAGTGCACCCATGAAGGATGTGGCAAGTGTTCCACATGTGCAGGTACGAAGGCTGCGACAAGACATTTCCCGCAGCACACAAGCTAAAAGTTCATGAAAGAAGACATCAAACAGAGAACAAGCCATATAAATGTGAAATGGAGGGGTGCGGTAAGGTGTTCTCTGCCAATGGGACCTTAACAGCCCACATGAAGATTCACAGTGGGGAGAGACCACATGCATGCCCTGTAGATGGATGTGAGAAAAGGTTTACAAAGGCATAGAAGTTAAAGCTGCATTTGAGGTCACATACGTGTGAAAGGCCATTTCACTGTGAAGTACAGGTATAACTACAGTATCATATGTTTACAGTTGAACTTCTCTCTACTGTATGTCTCACTTCACCGCAGTGTATAAATGAGTGCTGACTGCAAACTGGTGGTTATAATCCTGCGATAGACTAGCTCTCTATCCAGTGGGGAGTGGTAATACCCCTATGTTCTTCCGTTATACACTCTGGCCTTATAGGCCTCTTTGGTTCAAGGTGCCCTTTAACCATTTTTATCCTACATGTATTTTAGATACCCGTACTCCCCTAAATGTCTCTCTTTCCTGTCTGACACTGATTGTTGAGAGATTTGATTCATTTGACAGTGTCTTTTTTGTTCAGGGATGTGGCTGGTCTTTCACAAGTGCTTATAAACTTAAACGGCATATGCGGAAACACACGGGAGAGAGACCGTTTATGTGCCTCCATGAAGGCTGCCTTAAATCATTCACAAGATCAAGTCATTTAAAGACCCACATGCTTGTCCATACAGGAGAAAAACCTTATGTTTGCCCTGTGGACGGTAAGGTTGTTTTCCCAAATGAAGTTTATTATGCATACCTTTTTTGCCATTTATCACTTTACAATAAAAAAAAGATGTGCAAAAGCCTTCTCTTGGAAATTGAATGGGACACAATTCTCTCCTCAAGCACTGTCCAGAGACAAAATTTTAATTTTCATTAAGAATTGATGCCATCCAGTTATTCATAGTCATGTGCCATACTCTGAGAAATCATAACAACTTGATTTTTTTGCCAGAGACTGAAATTCAAGTCTTGCAAAATTTGACTTTCCCATTCTTGCAAATTTGAGGTGCCCACCAAAACTGGATAGCTTTTAGACTGTTCATGATCCCCTATTTTTCCATGAAGATAGTTATTATTGAGCACTTATCATTATGGGTGGCTAGCTTGGTCTCATGTAGTGAGGGGGTGGGCGTTGGGATTTATAGTAGTATTAGTGAGGGAGGTGAGAAAAGGAGAAATATTTTATTATGTTATTAATAAAATTTATTAAATATTGTTCTCGCCTCTTCCCAAAGTAAATTTGAAATGGTACATTTGAAAGTTGATCCTCACAATCGTACATAAAAAAAGGGGACTGTGAACAGTCTGGATAGGTAGCAAGGGACTATCGACATGATACCAGAATGACTTTCATTCTGGAACGAGCTCACCCCATCGTAAGATAATTTTTCTGTATTTTTTTACGCGATGGGAAAACAGCCTTTTGGTTCCCACACAAGTCATTCCGGTTTTCAATCTAAGTGAATGAAATTCTTGTTCTGCTATGAAATTTCATTCTGGTATCATGTAAACTGAAAACGAACTTCATTCTGGATTGTAAACAGTGTGTAAATCACAAATTGTGTAGTCTGGAGTAACTGGCACATGCGTATCTGATGTGGTGCAAAAACCATGCAAACGAGAATAAGCCAAACCAGTGAATTTTATGATGTGGATGCACTACGAACTTCATTCTGGAATGAAACTCATTCCTGAATGAAAGTCGTTCTGGTATCATATAAACAGTCGCTAAGATAGAGAAGTTTAATGTGCCTGTTTATTTTTTTTTAAGGGTGCAACAAGGCATTTACTGCAGGAAGTAGTCTTAATGTACACATGTGTAAACACACTGGTGAGAAACCATTCAAGTGTGATATTAATGGTTGTGCAAAGACCTACACCACTGCTGCTACCTTAAGGGCTCATCAGAAGCGACATGGAATGAAGGCCGTAGTGGGTAAGAACTTGTACATGAAGTTGTGCCAATAAAGTTAATGCTCTCGCGTGTAAAGAATGAAATCAACATTTGGACATTCAAGTACCGGTACTATTCATATGGACAAAAAGAGATTTTTGAAGCATGGGCAAGTTAGGGTACTTTCGGTGCTTACCTTTTGACAGAAAAACTTGAATTGGTTAGGTTGCCCAGTGCATGATGATATACACTTTCCCTGCTGCCTGCAGAAATACCTTTTCTGTTACGCTTTGAACTTAACAAAGGCGTGAATAAAAAGCATAAAGAAAAATGTAAAAAAAATGGTAAGCGATATTCCATTTGGAAGCTGTAACCACATGACCTCCCTTAAGTTTGTCATTGTTCTGTCTTTGCCCCCTACCTTTCCTCCTTGCTCTGAATATTCTTTATTATACTGTGGTTACATTTTCTACCTTCCTTTTTTTCCCTACAGTTGATTTCAATGATGCTTCCCAAGGTGACATGCCTGCAGAGCTTGGTGTAGTTAACTGCGGGAGCAATGCTAGTGAAACAGAACCCGAAGTCATGTACATCACCATTGGTTCTTTCCACCCAAGCAATTTTAAGCTAGATGCTGCTGCACGTCTTTCAGCAGTTGGTATTCATATACCCTCTTCATTGCAGCCAAACACATTGTGTGCCCTGGTAACTTCAACAGGCAACCCACTTTCCACAGGCATCCCACTTGTGTCTCCTTCGACTGAACTTGCACTGGAAACAGAAAAGAAACAGTCAGAAGATGGAGAAATGAAGGAAGCAAGTATATCAGGAATTCAAGTGCCAATGTCAGTTCAACAAGAGCAATTCGTTACCGAGGACCTAGAAAATAATACAAAACTTGATGTAACAGAGTTCGTCGTGAGAAGTACTAGTGATGACACAATTTCAGCTGCCGCCCAGGTAAGGACAGAGGTGGTTGGAGTGGACGGAACCAAGCTCTCTGGAAACTTTGATTCGTGTATAACCAGCATGATGAGTCATATAACAAGTGAAGCGGGACAAGATGAAGGAAGCAAGTATATCAGGAATTCAAGTGCCAATGTCAGTTCAACAAGAGCAATTCGTTACCGAGGACCTAGAAAATAATACAAAACTTGATGTAACAGAGTTCGTATCATACCATCTATATGCTGACGACACCCAATTATATATTACCTTTAAATCTACCAGCTTGAATGACATCCAACAAGTGAAGTTGAGAGTGGAATGCTGTGTGAGGGACATTGATGAATGGATGATAAGAAACTATCTTAAACTAAACCAAGACAAAACGGACCTTGTAGTCATCAGTTCTAGATTCCATCCTATGCCTGACATCGGTCACATTACTGTTGGTTCTGAGTGCATTGCACCTCGTGACTCTGTTCGTAATTTAGGGGTTCAGTTTGATAGCATATTTAGTTTTGAGGAGCACATTAAGAACATTTGTAAATCATCATTCTATCATTTGAGAAATATTGCTAAAATCCGCAAGTACTTAAGCCAAGATACATGTAAAATCTTAGTCCATGCATTTATCAGTTCGAAACTTGATCACTGTAATTCCTTATTACATGGCCTTCCTAAGTATCTGTTAGCGAGACTACAGGCAGTTCAGAATGCTGCAGCTCGTGTTGTCACATTGACACCGAGGCATGTTCATATAACTCCTATTTTAATTAATCTTCACTGGTTACCAGTTGAGTTTAGAATAACTTTTAAAGTCCTTTTATTGGTATACAAGGCCCTTCATGGCCTTGCACCTTCTTATATTTCTGACCTTTTGAATTTTAAAACATACTCTAGGTCATTGCGTTCTTCCTGTAAAGAATACTTAGTGGTTCCAAGAAGCAGATTGAAAACATATGGAGACAGAGCTTTCTCTATTGCAGGACCTAAATTGTGGAACGATTTACCTCTAGAGATTAGGAAATGTGCTTCAGTGGCAACTTTTAAGCAATCCCTTAAAACTTTTTTATTTAAGTTAGCATATAGGTTATGAGATTCCTTTTGTTTTGAGATGTTTTTGATTTATATAGTAGATAACTTAGGCTATATTTGAATTATATTGTATATTGTAGATATTTTTATATTTTATATTTTTTATATTTTATTTTGCAATTAGGTAGCGCTTTGGACAATTATTGGATTTTAGCGCTATATAAATAAAATTATTAATTATTATTATTATTTATTATTATTAAGATGGAACTGGAGGACACCCTGCTGTTAAAAGTGTTGTGTCATCAGGTCGGTCTCGTAAAAGATCCAGAACTCTTGACTTTCGAGATGTTCACCCTGAGGATCAGTTTGCGCCGCCTGCTGTTATATTTCAGGTTTGTTTGTAAGTTTCGTATGTTAAGCCATTCGCCCCTGAACCGCCCGTGTGTATCCAAGTCCCTTCTACCGCTTGTGACGTCATCAGGACAACTTTGTCATCTCACTTTTGCAGGGTGAAGAGATTTTCAATCTATATCAGAATGAGCAAGATCCAGTCAAGGGGGCCGGAGAAAAAGGCCAAAAAAAAACCGCGTAACGTTAACTCGAAAATTCCTCTTGTTCCATTACCCACCGACCTTTCCTTTCATCTAATCGCAAGATTCTAAATGCTTTCCTAAATTAAAAGCTTTTCCCACCAAAATGAAGCCTTCTAAAATGCTCAGGAAAAGAAAAAAAAGTGGAAGAAGAAAAGCAAAAGAAGAGTGGAGGAGAGAAATTTTGCTTTCTGCGCATACCTGGGCTTCAAAAGCTATTCTCTTACATCTGGATCCTTTGCTTCTTGACGTAAGACATTTCATAAACGTTCATTTTAAGTTCCTGAGGTTACATAATTATTATGCCAAAAAAAGCGATTGTAATTTGACATCTGTTGGTTTGCAGGATGAAGTCAAGTCCTCAGACACTGAAAATGAGGCTGAAGTCTTAGTGGCTCAAATCCAGCAGTCCCCTGAGGGAATTGCCACGGTTCATATTCCCAGGGATTCGTTTCAAATCAATTTACCCCACGGACCAGTAACTAATTCAGCAACAGCTCATGTACCGGAAGTGGAACATGTGGATGTCAATACATGTGGTAACTATGGTAACACCATTGAGATTCCTTTAGAATCTAGTTCAACGCTACCTGGTGCGTCTGTGCAAAGTGAAGTTATGGAAAAAGGAGGCTTATCTCCATATATGGACAATCAAAGCTCTTCAGAGCAAGGCGAAGGGAACGGAGACACTTATCCAGAAAGCACAATTAATTTACAAGACCTCTGATAATATACACATAATTCATAGCAACAACAGTTGTATATTGTAGATAATTTTTCTTCTAGCTCGATTTAATAATTTATTTAGTAGCCTTATTTAAAGAGGTTAATTGTCGAAATTAGAAATAGCGTTGGAAAACGTCAAAAATTCATCACAAAGAATCGATTATCGACAATCAAATCGTATCCGCTATCTTTACAGGGCGTAGCTGAAGAGACGAGACGCTGGTCATCACGTAGCTTGCATAACAGGCTGACAATCGCTTAGACAAAAAATATATGTATTAGAAATCGTTTTTCATTGACTCTGAAAATTGACTCACGATTTCAGTCACAGAAAGTATAAGATCAAGTGCCGGTATACGGAATAACGATAATATTAAGTATCAAGTGTTTCCTCACGTTATTGACAAATTTCTAAGTCAGATCTTTTTTTGTGTTTTTTTTTAAACAAAAAAATTAAAATTACGTGGAAATGACCAAATAGCTTTTCGCGACGTTTCACCTTATCATACGGCTTAGAGCACATGAGTCAGTGATATAATTTTGATGGCGAAAAACAAAGACTGTAACTATAAATAGACCTGATGAAGAGAGAACTGATAATCAGCCCTTAACAAATGTTCTTAGATCCATCTACCAACATGGCGACACTTTTTAGAGCCCCAGCTTTCCTGATCTGTCTGATTGTAGATGAGGAAGACACATCTTAGCTAAGCCGCGTCTTATCTCAAGCGAAATGTGCAGTTTATACGGGACAGATTTTGGGGTGTCATATACCTATATAGCATAAATACTGGAGTATTCCTCCCCTCTCCCATGCCTGAATTGCTTATTCTTCATTATGAACTCTTCATTCACGTTATTAGGTAATTAAAATTAGCCTGGGAGGAGCAGGGAGGAAAAAAGAGACAAGGGAGAGGGTCCCAGTTCCTTTGAACGGTGGTCTCCCGATCGAGCAAAATCAAGCGAAGTTATAAACGAAAATGAACTGACCAGCTTGGGGGAAGAGTTTGTACCAGCCGGGCCTGATGCATGTGATCTCTTAAATCTGCTCCACTATTCTTGTGAGTCCAGTAACTAATAACCCCATGCTATGATCAATGGCATCCTCAATATTGTGTTTTTCGCGACATTTTCGTTGAACGCGAGCTTTTTATGTGTCAGTGTGATAGAAGTGATTTTTTTAACTGGCAATTTTAATCAAAAGTTTTCCTCAACTTGCTGCGCTTTTCGAATGAATGATTATTTTTGTCAAACTAAAAGTTTTTAAAGTTTGTATTCTCGCTTTTTCGCACTCTAATTTTAGTCGTGACGAGCGGGTGCAAAACAGGCTATTGTAGTCTTCGCAAATTCATTAGTTTTGTCAAACTGATGGTGGTGATCAACATCACTGAGCAATCAAATGTTACGAGTCAAAATGGTTCTTGTGCTAGCGATTCTTTAACACTAGTTTTCCTTAACTTTCTTCGCTTTTATTGTCGACCGAGAAGTTTGGAAAGTTTGTATGTTTCTTTCCCGGTGCTTTTAAATTTATTAAGGGGCTTGTCTGTCGTAATTCACACGGCTATAGACCTTTCTCAAAAATACCTTAATACTCTTTGTTGTCTCTCCAAAATTTTGCATTAGCATTGTTTTCAGTTTTTCTTGGGGCGAAAGGCCTATTGTCTACTCTTTCACTAGCCAGTTTTGTCATCGATTTGTCAAGTTTTAATCAAGTCGGCCTTTTTTTTCTGAATGCGTCTAATTCAAACGTTAGTCTAATTGTTCATTGATGAACTGAGTGCTGTTTTTCTCAATGTATTGTCAAGTCCCATACCTAGTACTGTTTTCAACGTTATGTAATTAAGCGAGTCGGCAAACTTTTCTCTTTGAATGTGACCAATCTATGCTTTGATTGCCCATTGTTGAACATAGAATGCGTGCTTTTCTCACATACAGTTTCAAGAAAAAATTTATCGAAAACATATCTCACGCTGGTTTGAATTTTAATCGAGCGACCGTATAAATGGTGACACCAATTTCAAGTTGATTTAACTGTGTTTATCAAGACAGAAACCTCCGTACCTTGCCTGCCGTACAGTGAAGACCAAACTCAGCTAGTGGATCTCTGGTCTGGAATGAAAGTCAAGATCTCTTTTGCCTCCTCGAAAAGGGCAGGTTTGTTCTTAGTTGAACTTTAACTTTCCTCTGTGCGTTATTGTCGCCCGAAGTTACCTGTGAAAATGCATGGTCCCTTTGTTATGTTGGCTTGATAAATGTTGAACTGGAGGGACAAATATGTAATGAAGGTTTTTTACGGTGTAGTCAACAAGATAAACACGAGTTGCGTATGTTAGGATCAAATAGGCCTATTTTGTTGATGTCAATGTAGAACAACGTGGTGTTCACTTCTGTGGCTACACATATAAAATAAACGTCAAACGTTGGATAGTTTGTTATTACTCTGACTAAGACTATATGCTTTTATATTTGATTAACCGCGACCTTATTAATTAATGAATGATTTGAATTTAAATTATGCTTTTATGCCGCACAAACGGGATGCAAACAAACCAAGTGTTGACCTTATGGCAATTTTGGCGTAAAGTGCTCAGCTTGCACCGGGAGAGAAATACAATGTTTCCCGGGACGGTTCAGGCTGACATAAGATAATAGTCGACAGAGGGGCAAGAGAGGTGTGAATAAAACTGAAGGTAACGAGAAACCAGTTAAACAAGAAAATAAGGTTAATTCGGAGTGCAATTCTTAGACGTTTGTACGGTGATATTTACAACAACAAATAACACCTTCCATTTTTTAACAGGTTCTACCCGACCATAAGGAAAAGCAGAACAATTTGCCTTGCAAGAAAGTCTTCAAAATAACAATAAACGTACTGCCACGGTCCTTAACAAGGATATGCAGCCAACTCGTTTGTGTGTCTGTCATTTATTCAGTATATACCAAACCTATATGGTAAGTTCATTTTTTGCACAACACGGTCGGTTAGTCGGGTCTTCATGCAATTTTCCATTGTTTTGAACAGGTTATTATTCTAAATAAATTTCAAGAACAGGTCGTTGAGGTGGACAGAAGATTATTATTAGAAATAATAAACTACTGTTTCAATTCAGTGACCATAATAACCTGCTTTTCAAAAACTCTGGAAAAGTACGCGCTCGGTCATTATTTTTAATAAGGTCTCCAGGCTCATCGATTAAGCTATATTAGTTTTCATGTTGCATCTTTTTTCACAGAAACTTCGAAGTAAGGTAGTTGGCCTCTAAAAATTCTGGTTTGGTATATACACGAAGAAAACTGCACGTTGTATTTAGTTATAAAATAAACCTCTTAAGGCCTGAAAAAAAAAAAAACACAATCTAAAAGAAGTTTACGCTTTTAAATTTAGTGAAGAAAGTTCGGTTTCGTAAACAAAACGAAACCTTACACCAAGCTAAATTTCTCAGCGCGAACCAACTGTCAAAAATACACCAAAAAAAGCACTAAAGATACCTCAAAAAAGGTAAGTAAAAAGGTAAGTTTATTTATATTGTTTTTTTCTTAGCCCTGGGGACTAAGTGCTCCGCCCAAGGGGGGAGAGCCCTGGGGACTAAGTGCTCCGCCCAAGGGGGGAGAGCCCTGGGGACTAAGTGCTCCGCCCAAGGGGGGAGAGCCCTGGGGACTAAGTGCTCCGCCCAAGGGGGGAGAGCCCTGGGGACTAAGTGCTCCGCCCAAGGGGGAGAGCCCTGGGGACTAAGCCCAAGGGGGGAGAGCCCTGGGGACTAAGTGCTCCGCCCAAGGGGGGGGAGCTCCGCCCAAGGGGGGACTAAGTGCTCCGCCCAAGGGGAGAGCCCTGGGGACTAAGTGCTCCGCCCAAGGGGGGAGAGCCCTGGGGACTAAGTGCTCCGCCCAAGGGGGAGAGCCCTGGGGACTAAGTGCTCCGCCCAAGGGGAGAGCCCTGGGGACTAAGTGCTCCGCCCAAGGGGGAGCCCTGGGGACTAAGTGCTCCGCCCAAGGGGGGAGAGCCCTGGGGACTAAGTGCTCCGCCCAAGGGGGAGAGCCCTGGGGACTAAGTGCTCAAGGGGGGGAGAGCCCTGGGGACTAAGTGCTCCGCCCAAGGGGGAGAGCCCTGGGGACTAAGTGCTCCGCCCAAGGGGGAGAGCCCTGGGGACTAAGTGCTCGCCCAAGGGGGGGGAGAGCCCTGGGGACTAAGTGCTCCGCCCAAGGGGGAGAGCCCTGGGGACTAAGTGCTCCGCCCAAGGGGGGAGAGCCCTGGGGACTAAGTGCTCCGCCCAAGGGGAGAGCCCTGGGGACTAAGTGCTCCGCCCAAGGGGAGAGCCCTGGGGACTAAGTGCCCCGCCCAAGGGGAGAGCCCTGGGGACTAAGTGCTCCGCCCAAGGGGGGGAGAGCCCTGGGGACTAAGTGCTCCGCCCAAGGGGAGAGCCCTGGGGACTAAGTGCTCCGCCCAAGGGGAGAGCCCTGGGGACTAAGTGCTCCGCCCAAGGGGAGAGCCCTGGGGACTAAGTGCTCCGCCCAAGGGGAGAGCCCTGGGGACTAAGTGCTCCGCCCAAGGGGGGAGAGCCCTGGGGACTAAGTGCTCCGCCCAAGGGGAGAGCCCTGGGGACTAAGTGCTCCGCCCAAGGGGAGAGCCCTGGGGACTAAGTGCTCCGCCCAAGGGGAGAGCCCTGGGGACTAAGTGCTCCGCCCAAGGGGAGAGCCCTGGGGACTAAGTGCTCCGCCCAAGGGGGAGAGCCCTGGGGACTAAGTGCTCCGCCCAGGGGAGAGGGGGGGAGTGCTCCCTGGGGACTAAGTGCTCCGCCCAAGGGGGGAGAGCCCTGGGGACTAAGTGCTCCGCCCAAGGGGGGAGAGCCCTGGGGACTAAGTGCTCCGCCCAAGGGGGGAGAGCCCTGGGGACTAAGTGCTCCGCCCAAGGGGGGAGAGCCCTGGGGACTAAGTGCTCCGCCCAAGGGGGGAGAGCCCTGGGGACTAAGTGCTCCGCCCAAGGGGAGAGCCCTGGGGACTAAGTGCTCTCCAGGGGGAGAGCCCTGGGGACTAAGTGCTCCGCCCAAGGGAGAGCCCTGGGGACTAAGTGCTCCGCCCAAGGGGAGAGCCCTGGGGACTAAGTGCTCCGCCCAAGGGGGGAGAGCCCTGGGGACTAAGTGCTCCGCCCAAGGGGAGAGCCCTGGGGACTAAGTGCTCCGCCCAAGGGGAGAGCCCTGGGGACTAAGTGCTCCGCCCAGGGGAGAGCCCTGGGGACTAAGTGCTCCGCCCAAGGGGGGAGAGCCCTGGGGACTAAGTGCTCCGCCCAAGGGGGGAGAGCCCTGGGGACTAAGTGCTCCGCCCAAGGGGGGAGAGCCCTGGGGACTAAGTGCTCCGCCCAAGGGGGGAGAGCCCTGGGGACTAAGTGCTCCGCCCAAGGGGGGAGAGCCCTGGGGACTAAGTGCTCCGCCCAAGGGGGGAGAGCCCTGGGGACTAAGTGCTCCGCCCAAGGGGGGAGAGCCCTGGGGACTAAGTGCTCCGCCCAAGGGGGGAGAGCCCTGGGGACTAAGTGCTCCGCCCAAGGGAGGCGAGCCCTGGGGACTAAGTGCTCCGCCCAGGGGAGAGCCCTGGGGACTAAGTGCTCCGCCCAAGGGGAGAGCCCTGGGGACTAAGTGCTCCGCCCAAGGGGGAGAGCCCTGGGGACTAAGTGCTCCGCCCAAGGGGAGAGCCCTGGGGACTAAGTGCTCCGCCCAAGGGGGTGAGAGCCCTGGGGACTAAGTGCTCCGCCCAAGGGGGTGAGAGCCCTGGGGACTAAGTGCTCCGCCCAAGGGGGTGAGAGCCCTGGGGACTAAGTGCTCCGCCCATGGGGGTGAGAGCCCTGGGGACTAAGTGCTCCGCCCAAGGGGAGAGCCCTGGGGACTAAGTGCTCCGCCCAAGGGGAGAGCCCTGGGGACTAAGTGCTCCGGGGGGGAGAGCCCTGGGGACTAAGTGCTCCGCCAAGGGGGAGCCCTGGGGACTAAGTGCTCCGCCCAAGGGGGAGAGCCCTGGGGACTAAGTGCTCCGCCCAGGGGAGAGCCCTGGGGACTAAGTGCTCCGCCCAAGGGGAGAGCCCTGGGGACTAAGTGCTCCCAGGGGGAGAGCCCTGGGGACTAAGTGCTCCGCCCCTAAGTGGGGAGAGCCCTGGGGACTAAGTGCTCCGCCCAAGGGGGGAGAGCCCTGGGGACTAAGTGGGGGGGGGAGAGCCCTGGGGACTAAGTGCTCCGCCCAAGGGGAGAGCCCTGGGGACTAAGTGCTCCGCCCAAGGGGGGAGAGCCCTGGGGACTAAGTGCTCCGCCCAAGGGGAGAGCCCTGGGGACTAAGTGCTCCGCCCAAGGGGGGAGAGCCCTGGGGACTAAGTGCTCCGCCCAAGGGGAGAGCCCTGGGGACTAAGTGCTCCCAAGGGGAGAGCCCTGGGGACTAAGTGCTCCGCCCAGGGGAGAGCCCTGGGGACTAAGTGCTCCGCCCAAGGGGGAGAGCCCTGGGGACTAAGTGCTCCGCCCCAGGGGGAGAGCCCTGGGGACTAAGTGCTCCGCAAGGGGAGCCCAAAGGGGAGAGCCCTGGGGACTAAGTGCTCCGCCCAAGGGGAGAGCCCTGGGGACTAAGTGCTCCAAGGGGGGGAGAGCCCTGGGGACTAAGTGCTCCGCCCAAGGGGAGAGCCCTGGGGACTAAGTGCTCCGCCCAAGGGGAGAGCCCTGGGGACTAAGTGCTCCGCCCAAGGGGAGAGCCCTGGGGACTAAGTGCTCCGCCCAAGGGGAGAGCCCTGGGGACTAAGTGCTCCGCCCAAGGGGGGAGAGCCCTGGGGACTAAGTGCTCCGCCCAAGGGGGGAGAGCCCTGGGGACTAAGTGCTCCGCCCAAGGGGGGAGAGCCCTGGGGACTAAGTTGGGGACTAAGTGCAAGAAAGATGAATCTACGAGAAATGGCATACTTCGGCGATTATCCGGGAGAATTTAGACTCTAATCTTGAGACTGGGATAAACGGTTCAAAATCTGGAGTCTCCCGGATTAGCCGGTAGAGTTGACAGCCCTGGTAGTGTACATCTCGTTGGGGGAACAGATACGTCGTATTGTCAGGGCAAGGCTGAATGGGAAAGCTCGTTTAGCGTGTAAGGGGTGAAATGATGAGCGGAAAACGTACTTATGTTCAGCTGTAGGTTTAGTGAAAGAACAATTTCAATGATCCCAGCTGATCCCATACGATCATTGACGGACACCTTGAGGTAGAGAAAGGAGAAAGATTTGAATAAGTAGTTTGATACAAATGTAATAGTGGGATGAAGGGTATTTTGGTAAGAGATAGAAAAATACATTTATAGTGAGAATGAATATGAGGAGGTCTCAAAGATTCTGTGTGTATGGTGTGTACGTAGAGCGGTCACTAGAAGAGGGACACTATATGTTGCCCACCATGACCTACTGGAGAGAAATGGTCAGCGGTTTGTTTCCGAGTGTCCCGAGGTGTCAACAAAACGTTAGCCGTGGTGGAACTCTTTCGTTAAGAAATGGTGAAAGAATTGTCGGAAATTGCATCGAAGGGTGATGTTGAAAGGTTAAGGGAACTATTTGAAGATCCAGAAAGTTTGTATTCCACGGATCCATCGCAGGCGTTGAACAAAAGAGATGCAGAAGGTAAATCCGCGCTGGATATTGCTGCCATGTTGGGTCGGAAAGAAATGGTTCGAGAGCTTCTAGAACGTGGAGCAGACATTAATAGCCAAACCAAGAGAGGTACGCGACAAACTTAGTTCTTACGAAGAAAGCATTTAATTTATGGTTCGATTTTTTAAATGTTTAATTGCAGCTGTCTGATACAATTAATTAAGAAATGGTAAACGTGCAACGTGCAACCATGGAGTTATGGATGTACGCGGGAGGTTGCTAAGCACGAAAGAAGCTTAAAAGTCTGCGACTCTAGCTTCTTGAGTGCTTAGCAAACCTCCCAAGTGCATCCATAACTCCATGGTTGCACAGCTGCAACGTTTACCATCTCTTTTATAACATAATCAAAAGAGAAAAACATTATTTTCCATGTGCCTTCAGTTGAGTCATCGGTCCGACATCATGTATGCTGCCATATGCCCGCGCGTAAACAAATCATGTTCTATGTTTTTCAAAACCTTGCCTTTGAGTTTTTCTTTCGCTGATTCAACTCAATCAATCAATCAATCAATCAACTTTATTTAAACACAGTAAATGGCTCAGCAAGCTTGTTTTCAGACATGCCGTGGGATAATTACAATTTATAAAAATTAAGACTAGTGATTAACTAACAATACAATATAACAGCAAGAAATGAGTATTAGAAATAAGATAAAAACATAATAAAATTTATATCCTAAGATATGGCGAGTTTAAAGCTAGTAAGATCCCCCATCTCACGTGTTTCATTTGACAGTTGGTCCCAAGCCATTGCACCCCGATTAGAAAATGAACACTTGAGAAAATTTGTTTTAGGTAGTGGTAGTTGGAGATCATAGTTAGAACCCCTCAAATTGTAGTCATGAATTTCAGAGGTTCTATGAAACCGCTCCCGAAGGTACTGTTCTCCGTCTTCAGGTAAATTGCAAAACGTTTTTTTTTTGTTATTCTGAATGGCATCTGTCTACTTGCTCTTAATATTAGGGTAAAAACTTTGAGGGAAAACTATAGCTGCAACTATAAACACCAACTAAAAAGACTCTAAAAAATAAGCTAAAACTAAATAAATGAAATAATTATCAAGCTTATTTATGTGAGAATTTTTTAAAATAAACGTAAAGTAGAAATGAGAAAATTTGACTGTAATTCCTTTAGAATAACAGGTAACACTAATTTTAAAAAGAAATTAACTAGCTTTGTATCGAAATCTGCCTGGGGAAATCCAGCTATGAAAGTCAAAGTTGTTACTGAAATTTGCCGAAACACAGCCGGCGCTGAAGCTGTTGTTTTTCGACCGTTCTCTGAACGACTGTTACGAATGAACACTGAGGAACAAAATAATACACACAGAAGTTATGTTTTGAAAAATTTATTTGAAAACCCAAATGTTTCTGTACTGAAATAAAATTCGCTTATTCCAGCATAATGTGCCTGTTTAAACTCAACTAAAATTTTTAATCAATGCGATGCAAACTTCACAACAAAGCTGTCTCGAATTTGAGCGTGTTTCCTAAAATATTTGCTTGAATTTAACATCAGCTTGACCAAAAAGTCAATAACACAATGCTAATTGATAAATTTACATTTCAAACAGACTTTCTCTTCTATAAAAAACACACAAAATGTACCTTAAATCTTCGCTCACTCGATTTTCCTTCAGCCGAATTCTAGCCGCGAGGAAAACAGTGATTAATTCATCCAGGACAAATTTGTCGCTTGATCTTTTGTCTTTTTTCCTTCAAAACGACAGCTTAGTGTTTTCTTCAACTTCCACTTTTCATCTGTGCATTTCATCGGTGTATTTTACCGTCAGGAGAGGAGATTTGTTGAATTTGCCTAAATTTTACCGCACTAGCTCAGTTTCTTGGCGTGCCCCCACGGGCAAATGGTAGTGGCGAACTGACCCCTTTTTGTTATGTTATAAATCGTGATGGTGAACATTCTTGAAGAAGATAAGCTTAAGTAGACTTGAGGAATACTGGGTTTGTTTAAGACCCGGAATCTGGAAACCCCACGCCAAACGCCGAATGACTCTGAGGTTTAGTGATTAGGGTTAGGAAACTGAGTGAATTAGGTTTCAGGTCAGTTTGTCCAGTATAATGACCCCAAATGTGACCTGATTCACTCAGTTTCCTAACACCAATGAGTCATCCGTAATTCGACGTGGGTTCCTCGGATTCTGGCTTTTAGGCAAACCCAGATATAGTAACACTATATAAACGATCTTGCAGTGATACATAATTCGGGGAGGGGGGGGGGTACTATTGGGAATTCTTGCTGGGGGTGTGCCGCCGGGTTCTCCAAATCCCGACCCTATTTCAGACCAACAAATGTAATTTTCCACACCTGTTTTCAGACCAGATCTCTAAAATCCATACCAGATTTCAGACCTGTTCTTTAGGCCAAAATTATGTTATCATTACTTAGATTAGAGTACAAACAAAAAAATCTTCAAATCTATTTCAAATTCACATATTTCTCTTTCTTTCTTACTCATTTGGAATGGAAGTGATAAATACGTTCATACACTCCTGTAGTTCCCTCAAAAACCATACCTGATTCCAGACCAAAATGAGTAAAGCATATACCCGTTTTCAGACCAAAACGGCGCCAAAACCCTACCCTAAAACAAGACAAGACACATTTATTTAATCAACTTTAAATTTAGTCCCCTCGCAATTTTCTTTTTTTTAAGTACAAAAATAAGTGAAAAGTAACACAGATAAAATCAAACGACATTTCAGTGTTGTTGTAACGCCATTTTCAAGTTCGAAAAGTATCTGGTAGATAAAATAATTATCAGAAAAAGTTGTCTTATATTTTCAAAGCATGTTGAGATTGACATTATAAATTGTGATCTGGAGGCATTTCACTATTAATTATTATTATTGTCTTTATTATTACTATTATTATTATTATTATTATTATCAACAGTTCTCTATCATTATCACAACTGTACTTCACTATGATGATTAACCAAACATTAATTGAGGATATTACTTGGCTGCGCAGAGATGCAAAAAAATATTTCTATTCCTGATCGATCTGACACCTGGTATTTGTGTTTATGTAATAAGAATCTCTTTTTAAAGTTTGAAACTAAAAAACCAGCCCATTTCTTTTTAGTCAAGACTGTCATTCCCAAACTGGGTCACGTATATTCTATTTTTTTCTTAGAAACAACCAAACGACCTAACTAAAATACAAGGTTGTTTTTCGTCAGAAACAGCATGTTGTTCAGATAGATGATGGTGGTTTTCAATTTAAGGGGGATCAATGAAAACACCTAACTATACATGAATATGCTTCAAGGAAGCTCATCTCTTACTTGAAGCTTCAGGGGTGGTGGGGGGTGGTGGTTTATTGTACCTTGTGACTCAATAATTTAATCTACAGCATCCTGATAAAGTCATGATATCTTAATGACAGGTTACACAGCTTTGCATAGAGCAGCAGCGTGGGGGCACCCAGACTGTCTGAAAGTGTTAATCACAAATGGTGCAGATTTGCAGATCTGTAATGTACATGGTGAGAGAGCAAGAGAGGCAGCTGCGAGGTACCAAAAAGACAGCTGTGTTGATTATCTGGATCGTGCAGGTAGTAAACTTTCTTGTTACTGTTAATCTTGTGATTGCTGAGTTTGTCAACCTCGTTTCCAGGGTTCGCTCCTACCCATCCTTACAGAGCGAGTGAGAGAGAGAGAGACCCTGGTTGAGTCTGGTCACGTGTCTCCAGAACAAAATTAATTCTGAGGGTGAAGTCCTTTGTCTCTCTACTTTGTGTCTGGCTCATTTTCACTGTTCATGCAATGATTGCAAGAGAAAGATAGATTTGCTAACCCTACAACTGTAACTGAAACCATGGGATATTTCTGCCTAGACAGAACTACCACCAGATAAACAATCGAATTTTTTACCAGGGAAGAAAGCAACACCTCCTGTTGTTGCGGTTTAACAGACGACACCACTTGCTAAAAGCTATGATCTTGAGTTCTACACAAGCGTGTACATGTTTATAATAATATTGAGGGGAAAATCCCTGTATGTTAAACTTGCTTTGAAAGTATCAATGTTTGCCTGACAGCAGCTGCTGGTAATGGGCTGAATCAGTATACTGCAAAAACCTACACCATTAGCAGTCTTGGCGGTTCGGTGTGACAGAACATAACGGGGAATTTACATTACACTTACTGAAAGGTCAAAATAATATTTTAACTGTAGATCTAGTGACTTTATGGAAAGCTATAATCTGTCAGCTTTCTCCACCCCCTATCCTTTGTTATGATGAGCAATAGAAAGACTTATCGCTTTTGGTGGTAAATAGAGATACATGGTGCATACATGTGTACAAATGCAGAGGATAACTACAATGCAATGGATGACAGCAGGAAATCATGCAGTATAAACAGAGACAAAACAGACAACCGAACCCTCCAAGCGAAAGGCATTCTAGTAAATGGTGCATATGAAAACTTTATTTAAAAACACATGCAGCATAGTGATTTCTTAAAATCGTCTTACCTAACCCTCCAGAAAATTAACAAAAGGAACAATAAACGGTTTGCAGTTGTGCAAGCCATATTTTTTAACAAAG